AGAAGAAGCAGAGCCGGTCTGGAAGCGGACCCATCACTACTATAGTGTGTTAATAGATTTGTTATTTTGGTTATGACGGGTGTACAATAATTTCCCTCAAAATACGATTATTTTATGTCTCTAGTACGATAATCCTACATTTCTCACCTGGCAACCCTGCTGCTGGTAAATATGTGGACATGACGTCACAGCTCGGCCTGTTTGGTTTCCTTCATGATGAGAAGCTTCGTCTGGATTTAGCTCCGTGATTTATTTCAATTACTGATGAAAAAAGACTTCTCGTGAGTCAAATACTTTATTCTGTGATTTAGTTCCAAGCTGCTGCTGCCAGAGGCTTGTAACGCTGCAGCTTATTGTCTGTGGAGAGGAAGTTAGTTCAGTCTGTTAGCATCTGTAGCTGTTAGCGTCTGTAGCTGTTAGCGTCTGTAGTTGTTAGCGTCTGTAGCTGTTAGCGTCCGTAGTTGTTAGCGTCTGTAGCTGTTAGCATCTGTAGCTGTTAACGTCTGTAGCTGTTAGCGTCTGTAGTTGTTAGCATCTGTAGCTGTTAACGTCTGTAGCTCTTAGCGTCTGTAGTTGTTAGCATCTGTAGCTGTTAACGTCTGTAGCTGTTAGCGTCTGTAGTTGTTAGCATCTGTAGCTGTTAGCGTCCGTAGTTGCTAGCATCTGTAGCTGTTAACGTCTGTAACTGTTAGCGTCTGTAGTTGTTGGTGTCTGTAGTTTAAGATATTTCCTATTTAGACTGGTCCTATGTTTTAATCTGCTCAAAGACGGGATTATAATGAAATTATGACCCGATTCTGACTGGGTTAAACTGGGCCAGCAAACTCTTAAGAAGAGTCTCCATGATAATTCAATATCTGTTAAAAAATAGTTTAATCAGCTTGCCACATCACGTAGAAAAGGCTTTAAAGCACCGTCTCGTGTTTTCCTTACACGTCATTACACATAAAACCACACTTAGTCGCTCCCCCTCATTCACTGATAGGCTGAGCTCCCCTTCTGCAAAAGGTGGAGTCTAGGACCCCATAAATGATTGACGACACGGGACTTCGGGGCTCTTCCGGTTCTGTGAACGTGTCACATGATTGTGTAGAGTCCAGCGCTGTGAAATTGTAATCTTCTCCTGTCTTTTTTAATATAACTGATAAAACTCATTGGACGTTTCCTTGATTTATTTGTTAGCATGAGTTGCCACTTCTGAGGGAGGTTCGAGCCGGGGGTAAAGACGTGGGCTGGAGGGGGGTTCAGGATCCGGTGGCCCGCAGCCAAATCACGTCTTTAACAAGTTGTTAGCATCTGTAGCTGTTAGCATCTGTAGCTTTTAGCATATGCAGCTGTTAGCATGTGTAGCTGTTAGCATGTGTAGCTGTTAGCATGTGTAGCTGTTAGCATCTGTAGCTGTTAGCATGTGTAGCTGTTAGCAGCCACGTGTCGTCGCGTGCTTGGATAATCTAGTCTCGTGACTGTGTCTCTATTTTTCTGTGTAGGAGCAGGAGCTTCACGTCAGACCTCCACCAACCACATGTTTGTTCTCTAACAGGTATGGTTGTAATTTCTAGTAAAGTGGTTCAATATTAAACTTCGGTCCAGCAGCCTCCACTTCAAAAAGTCAGCTCTCACGCGGTTTGGTTGTGCACGTGCTAACACCACCAGGTAGTCACGCTTGCGAGGTTCTTTCAAAATAAAAGCTGATGTGTGTCTCCTGTTGGTCCAAACTCTGGACATAAAACACGTGTTAGCACTGGAAGCTGTAACGGGACCAACATTCCTGCTCAGCTGTTTCCACAAAAAGTTTCAATCTCGCCCCCATATCCAAAGAGTAGAGAACTTTTTGTGTTGTAAGTTAAATAAATAAAAAACTCCAGTGAGTTTTTCATGTTTTGACTCGAGTTGATTGAAGTCATTCTTGCTGGTCCATGTTCAGAAATGATTTTTAATGTCCGCCTGTTAATATGATCCATAATATTTGACTTTAGTCTCTGTTTTGTGGTTATTTGTATGTTCATGATGTGAGAATGTTCAATTGTTTTCCCTGAAGTTTCCATTAATATTAAAACAAAACTCTTAGTTTCCAGTGACCAGTCTCACTTCAGGCTGACTGTAGAACATCTCCAGATGTTGCTCACCAGATGTCACCAAGATCTCATGTGGAATTTCAAAATAAAGGCCCTCGAAAGTTGGACATTTTCCACAGAATTGTCCCTAAGTTTCTGTGTTTGTTGCTCGTTCTTCAGGATGTTGTAGAAACAGCGAGGGTAAGTACGGCTTTACCAGAAATCACATCATTAGTGCAGAAAATGTATTGTCTCGTTGAAATGCAACATAGTTCAAGTAAAAACAGGAATGTTTCATTTAAAATCATTTAATATTTTTAATATTTTAAGTGACAATAACCATTTGGAAAAATAAAGTTCAAATTGTACATTAATGTCAGAAATGACATTTATATCATTTTAACATCAAGTGTTTGTTTTTCCTGGTAAATGTTGAGAATTACAAGAGCTTTGTGTTATTTGTCCATGTCGACCAAAATCACTGGAGGTTTCTGGTTAGTTGCATAAAAATGATACTTGTTGTTCTCTCAGAACATTTTAATTTAAAGTTTCATGTTTTGATTTGTGCAGAAACTCTGTGAACCACACAGTCTTTCTGGTGGATCAAGTTCAGCAGAAGACGATTCAAAAGCTGCAAAAACATTTAGGTAAGTATTTATTAAGAGACAGAGGAGAAAAGTCTAACACTGAATTATATCTGGTGAGCTGCTTTTAAAATGATTTTAGTTGCTGTTATGGCCATGATGGACAGAGTGCACATTTTATTCAAGTTTGATTCAGGAACATCATAAATTACACATGAATGTTTTTCACTGAAACTAAATGAATCTTCAAACTTGTTCCTGATCATTTTGAAAGAGATTTAGTAACAACTTGAGTTGGACACATCATGCCAGTGT